CAGCCCAATGCTTTTAACCACTGTGCGTCACCAGAATTATTTGTTCTTTGACTTTTGAAGGAACTCCTTTTTCCTTAGCTCTTTGCTCAGTCATTGTGACTGGTTCAGATGAATGGTGATTGGGGATCCCAGGATCGAGAACCCTTACAGACAGCACCCAGGGCCAAACCAAACAACTGCCATCGAGATGATTCCGGCTCAGTGCCCTTATGAAACAGGGCACAACTGACTGGCTGTGCGTGAGTTTCCGAGAGGGGCTCTTTGAGGTAGTCACCCGCGTCCCCGTTCTCTCAAGGAGCAGCCGGAGGTGTCCAGCTGCCGACCTTGCAGTGAACCCCCCAGCGTGCCGCCAGAAACAGCACCTGCCACCTTGGCTCGTTCACATTTAGATAGCCACCCATGGCTACTGGATAGCATCTTGGATAGCATGTTTCTAGATGCTTCTGTGAAGCTTTCCTGCAATCGTTCTGTTGTTGGGTGTCAACCAATCGGTTCCACCTAGAGTGACCCTGTGAGCAACAGGAGGAAACAAGTCTCACGTCATCCTCACCATTGCTTGGCTGTCTGAGCCCGTCGCTGCAGCCCTGTGTCCGTCCATCTTGTCCAGGGCCGCCCTCTTGTACCAAGCATCATGTCCTCCTTCAGGGACTGGTCTCTCCTGACAGCATCTCCACAACGTACACTCACTAGCGGAATACATTTCTCCTGTTTCGTCTTTTTTATAACTTTACTCAGCAGGGTTCTTTTGTACTTCCTGTTAACATCTCCACCCGTGTTGTATTGTGTCTTGCTTTTACTTGGCAAACAAACAAGAAAATAATTACAGTATTTTATTGACTCAATTCCCAGTTGTAAGACTCACTATTATTTATTTTCACCAAGAGAAAAATACTTCCAGTTAAACTGAAGCAGAGAGCTTTGGCAGTAGTCTCATGATAGAATCTTACAAGCTGGCCCCACGGGTTATTTTGAAATTTCTGTCACCTGTTTTAAGATATCTAACAGCCTTTTCTGTCTTTAGGTTCATTTTTTCCTGACCTATGATAGGTGATTACAGCAATAAAATATAAATCAGCTTCATTAATTTGTGGTGCTCTCCTTTTCGTAAGTCCTGTCTTGAAGTCAGATGAGGTCATTTTTCTGTTGACAAATACTTGCTTTTCTAATACCAAATATATGTTTCATTGTTCAGTTTCTGTTTTCTGCCTACATAAATACTTACTGCTTTTGATTGAAGTTTGACATACATACAGAAAAGTTCACAATACACACATTTATTGTGTATGATAAATATACCAAAATCACTCACTGCCATCGGGTTGATTTTGAGGGTACCCTGTAGGACAGGATTGGATAGAATTGCCGTCCTGGGGTTCTGAGATGATGTTTTTCAGAGCAGAGAGCCATTTCTTTTACACATGAAGTGGCCGGTGTGCTTGAATTGCTGACTTACACTTACACCACCAGAGCCGTTACTGATGAGCCGACATAAACTGGATGCCCATCAAGTAAACATATTTTTGTGCCCAGAAACCCCCTCATGCTCTCTTCAGCCAGTATTA